TGCCAAAATGCTATTTAAACAAATGAATTAATTAATTTCGCGACAAAATTCAAGACCTATTATCGTAAATCTGATTGGTTCGTCCATAAATTGTAGTCTCGCCACTAAATCGTACATTCCCAATTCTACATGTACATATATTAATAGATAAATGCAATACAGTTTTTAATGTCAATAACACGAGTCCGTGAATTATTGGATAATGCGTTGAGGTCTTTAAGCAAAGAGTACATAGTTAGAGTCCTAAAGTGAATACCAACATTTGGATGTAAGTACTTTCAGTTGATGAGTATCAAGTATGATGATACATGCACCGTGAATACAGCTGTTAGCTATACATTTAATATATTTATTGATGTAACAGATGACTAAATAATAAATATATCAACAGATAGACTAAAAATCATCGAAACCAAGTAATCCGTATTCGACTTCGTTTGTAAGATGAAATCTAATCAATCAAAAAGTTCATTCACACATCCTTTTAATTTGGAATCGTTAGATATACACAATTAAGCCTAATTCGATACATCACATTGTAAATCTTAACTCTCATTCTTTAATCACAATTATTCTATAATATGCAAAGGTCATAACCAGATTAATTGAAAGGCATATTATAAAGTTTATTGAAGCCTTAGCCATACAAAAATTCAACCCTCATTTTTATACTCAAAAACAGTTTGTTCTCACTTTAAACCTACCCTGGTGATATTAATCCGTTATCCAAAGTGATGAGCTTTCACATAATTTTTCATATTATTTACCTTATTGCCTTTGTCTCCTCTTATCCTTCATTTCTAGTGTAGTTGACTTATGATTATTATGTATAACTGCTCTTAACAAGTATAAGTCTGATCAGATTATTCGAAATATATTGTGTTAATACATCACATGGTTCTAATAATCTTCGTCTACTTAGTACACTATCCAAATATATCAAAGAGGCTAATTACTTTAAATTGAAATAATAACCAGAATTCCTGAATACCATACCCTTATTTGACATGAATACAATGAGAATAACTCGTGTTATGTCACATTATCTTAGTATAAATTTTACATATATATTCCAACAGCATTGAATTTAATCATTCATTCCAGTACTTATTTTTTTCTAGTCATCAATTAATCAATAGTTATCCTCATTTATATTGACCTTCATTTGATCTACTTATAACATATTAACAAAATCTCTCATCTTCTAGTTGAATCCTTAACCTATAATCCATAATAATAACAATAATAATATCTAAAGACTTTTAACTAATTTGATGATTCAACTACAAACTACATTCTATAATTTCTACTCATTATACACATTCATATACTAACTTACATAACCTGTTCATTACATTAATTATCTCATATGTTTATATATATACCATAGTGAAACATTAAAATAAAATGTAACCGATGAAAAGAGAATTTGATTTCCCATGAGATTGATTCTATTTGATTTATGAGATTGAATTATTTTATTTAATAATATAAATTTTTGTATTTACATGATTTATTATCTTTTACTATATGTACATTTAGTTTGTTAGCCCAAACATTCAGTTAAAACCATCATTTATTATGAACATTAAGTATCCATTAAGGTATTTAGTTCGATTATTCATTTAGAGATAATGAAATAGTGGTTTAGCAATAACAACAACAACAAACAGACAAGCAAACAAACTAACAACATTATAACTTATCCATTCATACATGTCACTAACTAATTAACTAACTGACTATTAGTAATTAGAATATTACTTTTTTTCAATAAATAAATCAAATATATATATATATATATATATATATATATATATTACATAACTAGTAAACAAAACATGGATTGGTATCTGAATGAAATAGAAATGTAATTTTCTCTGGGGTATTTATTTTAAGCTATGTAAATTGCTTTAATTTCTTTTTTTTTACAAAAGTTTAACGTATTTATTAATAAACTAATCAGTTATGAATTCATTTGATGTTGTTTACTTGTATCTTTCCATGGTTGTTTAGAACTGTAATTGATCAGTCTGTTATTGGCATAGGTTCATCCTGTGCGGACTGCCTCGATATTGCCTTAATTCATAAGCATTATACGTAAAGATGGATAGTGGCTAACAGTGGAATCCAGGACACACAGTTCATCCCTACTTCGGACTCGTCTGGTGGATGTACCTATATCTAGCTAGTGACTGTTTAAACTCAGTAGCTGAGTGGATAACGTGATGGCGTTTGAAGCGAATGGTACTGGGTTTGAGTCCCAGAGTGAACATCAATTGTGAGATGAGGGTATATCCAGCTGACAAGTCTCAAATAGGATGAAACGCGCATCCTGAATTCCACTGTTATTCATTTTCCATCTTTGCTTATTAATCAGTTATGAATTTGTTAAACCACATGTCAGTGTGGTTAAATTAATATTCAGAAGCGTTAAATGAAGTGTGAATTGAACTAAGTTTTGATTTAGGACTCTGAAAGAAGAATTTTACCCGAAATAAACTGCGAAAATTTAAATGAAATTATGATTCAATGAATTATTACTCGAAATTTTACTATGCAATACTGATATTGACATTGTGGTAAGATTATTCGGTCTTCACTTAGTGGATGGTAGGTTCGAATTCTGCCTAATATATCATAATTTTTACAGATAAATTGTATTATTAACCTAAACACTAAATATGTTGTTCAAAGCGGAGGAACTAAACATGTGCTTGGTAGAAAATTTATGAAAAGTTCAGTTATTATACTGCAGTAAAATTTAACAAACTAGTGATTTTCCAATGAGTAGAAAAATTAGATTTTCTAACGTTTCGTAACCTGGTGTAAGCCACTTCTTCAGAGAATAAAGAATCAAATCAAGATTAATCCAAGTTTGGGATTATAAATATATTATAAATATATTACTTATTTATAATAATCTACTCAATGGTCAATGTTTTTGGAAATTATCAAGTCAAACATTGGTAATGATAAATACAAACTACTGATTGTTTTTAGTTACTGAAAAGCGCTTAAATTAGTTTTATATAAACTTATTATCGATGGGAATAATTATGTGCTGCAATTATACTTTTTCATTGTACTTATATGTAGGAAAAGGCTTTATATACTGCATTTCGTGAAATACGACAATGTCATTATGAATATTTTGGACAACTAGACTCAATACTGGACTCTTGAGACACAGTTTTCGAAGTCTTTCTTGATGAGGTCATCAAAAAGGTAAGTCACTTACTGTGTAATAAAGTTCGATATAGATTTCCTAAATATTTATATAATCAAGTGAATCATATTTGGTAGTTTTACATAACAAATAGAATTTTAATATCGGAAATTTTGAAAAAATTTGGGAAACATCTTATAACAACAATGATAATGAATCACAAAGCTATGATGGCTAACAATCTTGTATTCACATTAGATGGATGATATTTGGTTTACATTTGTTTTTGAATTGTGTAATTGTTGATGAACAATTGAAAGATGATGTACAATTTCAACTTGTTTTTATGCCATCTCTATTGATGACATTTGAACTAACTATTTTTTAGAAGATTCTAATGAGTTAAAAATGCAACTGTGGTTAGTTTATTTATACAGTTTTTTTAATAGTTGAGATCATGAGTCCATTGAAGCTAAAGCACTACAGGAAACTTGTATTTACTGGACGGCCGTTTCGTCCTAATGTGGGACTCCTCAACAGTGCGTATCCACGGTCCTGCCTCTCTAGATTCGAACTCAGTTTTTATTGTTATTTAATATTGCAAAGATGATCTAAGCAATTGTAATAGACAAGAGATGATCAACCAGTTGTTTTAAGTCATTTTTCTTTCATGAATTTGTATCACCGAAAAAAGTTGAATCCTCAGGAATGTATTTTATTATCAGATAAATATGAAGTTATAACATGAAAAGACATCAAATCCTATTGAATTCGATGTGACATTAAGAAGTTCTTTAGTTCTTTTGCTAAGATTTTTGTTGAATACATAAGATACGATATTTTGTTGTCTTTTTCGCAGTTTGACATTCCTCTACTTTAAAGAAACAATAAATTTATCTGGACAGGCAACAGATTTTTTTCTCTGAATAAACAATACATTTCGTTCTTTTTTAATATCCTTGAATAGTTTTATTTACAAAGCTTCATTTAAACATCTCTATTCACTATTTAATATGTAGATTCTATTCTGTTAGCCAAAATATCTATTCCAAAATATCTGCATCTATATTTATAATGAGAATCATTGACTAGTCACTGAGTAACGATTAATACCATTTTTATCTAATTCGAGTGTTATTCACATTTTGATCACTTGTTCAATGAGTTTTAATTAGCTCAAAACTAATATTTTAGGTTTCTAGTCGATTGCTACCAACCAAACACTGCACGCAATGTATAGACACCTGCGCTATTGATCATATTGGAATTTGATTTTACCAGCACTAGGCAAACCTAACAATGTTTACTATTAAATAATCAATCAATCTTACGGATGATCAATTTTTGACTACATCTAACTATCAAAATCTATTTGAATTGACTCGTTATTTATTTTTTTTAAATGAACATCAAGAAGGCAAGCTAACAGTTAACTAAAATAATTACCAAACAATTAATATTTCATTTCAGAATGGGTTTTGTGAATATTATATTAATTTTCAATAGTTGAGATCATGAGTCGATTGAAGCTAGACAACCATGGAGAACCTGGAAGCGCTGGACAGCCGTTTTGTCCTATAGTGGGACTCCTCATCAGTGCGCATCCACGTTACCGCCTCTTGAACCTTGGACCTATCAGTCTCACGTGAGAGCGTTTAATCACTAGACCACTGAGCCAGTTGGCATCCAACAGTGTTGATATCTAATCTAATCTCTGTTTTCCCTGGCTCTCTTTATTTCTTCAAATATTGTATTAAATTCATCAAGAAACCAAGAATAAATCAATCTTTATAATAAAAACATGATAATGAATAAATAATATATAACTTACTTGTGTAAATGTATATCCTTTAGGTTCTTTATAAGATAAATTAATTTTAGTTTTATTTAAATTTGTTGAATTTGGAAATATAAAACGTGGTGAATTATCATTTTGATCTAATATTTGTATACGTATTTGAACATTTTCAGATAATTTCGGTATACCTTTATCATGTGCATGAACAATTAGTATAATCATTGGTGTTAACATTGAATAATTTGTTTTATTAGTTAATTTTGATAATCTATTATAATGATTATAATTATAATTGACATTTTCAAATATTTCATAAGTGGATAAAGTTTTAGATAGATAATTAGTACTTTTTATAATAAGATTTTCACGATCTATTATAGATTCTATATATAATTTGACTTCATAGGATGTTTCATTTGTTGTAAAAGTATTATAATAATTTCTATGTAATGGATATGAATTTAATCGAAATTTTGATATAGATTCAATATATTTCCTTTGTCTTAAACTAGATGAAAGTAAAAAATCTCTTGAATTAAATCTTAATTGTTCAATATTATTAGGTATAATTAAATTCTTATTTAATGATGTTAAATACATATTAGGTCGTTCAAAATTCTCTTCAATATAAATTTCTAATTCAGCATTTTTACCTATATCTTTATCTGTAACATAAAATGTACCAATTAATTGTCCAATAGCATTATTTTCTTTAAAATTAAATTGAAAATAAGGTTGAGAATAAATAGGTGAATTATCATTATAATCTAAAACTTTTACATGTATAAAAACTTTAATAGTTCTTACTGGTTCACCATAATCTGAACAGATAATAGTCACAGAGAATTCATTTAATTTTTCACGATCTAAATTACCCAATGTACTTACAGTACCTGAATTTGAATCAATTGTGACAATATTTAAAAGAAAAGTTGGAGTTTCATGATCAAGACTAAAACGTAATTTAGCATTTTGACCTTCATCTTTATCAGTAGCATGAATAGTTATAATTTCAAAGTTTGATTTACTTCTTTCTGGATCAGAATCTTCACTAATTTCAACTTTATAAACATTTTGTTCACAAATTGGATCATGATCATTTATATCAATAATTTTTATACGTTGTGCGACAGTGGTTGTTAGTGAAGGAATTCCACCATCATGACACAGAATAGTAAACTCTATGACTTCATTTTCTTCTCTATCTATTCGCTTTTCCATTGTTATTTTATATTTATGATTAGAACTTGTCAAACCTGGGTGAACACCTTCAATGTTGATAGGAATTAGACGTAGAACACCTGACGTAGTTTGATTAATTATTTTACAGTTCACAAGAGCATTCGTTCCTGTATCTCCATCTGAAACTTCCACAATTCCTATATCTTGTCCAGGAGGAGACTCTTCAATTATTTCCAAATCTTTTGAACCAGTAGGAGATAGGACTCGAACACGAGGAAAATGATCATTTACGTCTATTACATTTACAATGATTTGTGTTACTGATGATTCTGAAATAATTTGAGAAGATTTTAAATGTCCTGATGTAGTGTTATCAGGATTTTTGGCAAATACTTTCAAAACATGTTGAGGTTTTTGTCGATAATCTAGTCGATTACGTAATCTAATTTCACCGGTATCTGAGTCAATATAGAAAAATTTCTCTTCATCCATATCATCTGTATATGAACTGAAACTATAAATAATTTTACCATTATCATATTCATCTTCATCAATAGCTTTCAATTTTAGAATTATTTGATCTATTGGTGTATCTTCACTTACATTTACCATATACATAGATTGTTCAAATATTGGTATATGATCATTACAATCTTCTACAAGTATTGTTACATTAAGATAACATTGATGATTATCAGATGAAAAACCATCATCAGCTATAATTTGAAATGAATAATTTTTTTGTTTTTCATAATCTAATTTTTGAATTAATTCTAATTCTAAATAAATATTTGGTATTGTCATATTTTTCATTAATGATAAACTATGTAATTTAAAATAATTTAATATATTTAAATTATGAATTAAATTAGAATTAGTATTTATCCAAATACGATCTGATTTAACAGAATTTCCACTCATTATATCATCTGGATCATATGGTATATTTAATGTAAAACGTGTATCATTAATAAATGAATCTTCACGTATATTAATAATTTGTTGATTAGATGGAATAAATTGACAACCATTATCATTAATATCTTTTAATTCAATAATTACATCAAATATAGTTACTAATTTATTACTTACTGCTGTTTTATATTTCATATGATTTGATATATTTAATAATGGTGTAGTATTTAAACAATTTACACTAAAATATAATTCACATTTATTGAATATAGAAAAATTAATTATTGATTGTTTTATTGATTTTTCATAAAATTGTTCTTTATTTAATTGATTATTTATAATACATAAATTTTCTCTATCTAATTTATATATATTACTTATATCACCAGTAAATTCATCTACATGAAATAATTCAGAATAATCATCATGATTAATAATTTTTACAAAACGTAAGTTATTTAAACCACCATTTACATGATTAAGTAAACTTCCAATATATGTATTAATTTTTAATTCTTCATTCATTTGAAATCTTATAATACGTGTATCATTTAATGTTATACAAAATATAATTAATATAAATTGTAATTGTTGATAAATAATATACCAATTCCATTCAAATAACCAAATATTTAACATAACGTATATTATAATACAATATGAAATATATAAATCATATTAGATAAGATATTCTATGTAATTAAAATTCATTATTCAATTGATATAAAAGAATTGAATGGTGAAAAAAAATTGCCAACAACTTTTTAATGAAAACTATTTTGTTTTGTTTTATTTGTTTGTTTGTTTGTTTTTTACTTCATAAATGATGTTATCGTGAAGAATTTCTGATGATTGTCATTTATTTAGTTAAAATGAATTTGATTGGTTCATTTATTATTATCCAATCATTTCACTTTCAATTTTGTTGTTGATGTTGTTGTTGCTTATTCACATAGAAACAGTCAGTATAACCATAATTTCTTTTATTCTATTATTCCGAATAATAAAAATGGTTAAATTCTATTTATTAAGAAAGAGATAAATTTTAAGTGTTTTTGTCCGGGGTTAATTGGTTTGAATTGTCTATAGTTTGTTATGAATTATTATTAAAATTTTATTAAAATGATTTCAACCAGTGAAATTTCTATAATCTCCATAAAACCTCTTCTGATATTAATCAACATATGCACACTAGTGACTGACTTCAATAGACACTCCTGGAGTTCTAATGAGAAGCACTGACCAGTGGAGTTCAACCAGGTCTGTTGTGAGATAGTAACTCACTGAAGACAATGATAGATGTGTCGCTCAATTTGTGGATTGGTTTAAGTTAGACATAAACACCATTGGATGCCGATCGGCTCAGTGGTTTAGTGGTTAAACGCTCACACGCGAGACTGATAGGTCGTGGGTTCGAATCTCTCGAAGGGAGGGATTGTGAATGAGCACTGCTGAAGAGTCCCACGATAGGACAAGTTGGACGTCCAGTGTTTCCAGGTTTTCCATGGTGTTCTAGCTTCAAATAACTCGTGATTTCAACCAGTAAAATTTCTAAAATCTCCACAAAACGCTTCTGATATTAAAATAAGCTATAAAAATATGAATTCATTATATAGATCCTTAAATTGAGGTAGCAACCAAACAAAATGGTTCTATATTTCGACTTCAAAAAATAATAATGATAATAAATTTGTCTATTCAAATGACTTGTTTTATTGCATTGATTTTTATCACAATAAATTTCAAATGTTTCTGATATGATTAACCGGAAAATATTAATCTTAGTAAATGAAACTATGTAAACATAACTTTATAAAAGAAATATTTGTCTACCGCTGAAACTTATTCTCGAAATTAAATTTTAGATCAAGGTATTTAATAAAATTAAGAATTATGTATGAATGAATGAGTTATTCAGTTAATCTGTTGTTCTGATGAAATATAAGAGTACATGAATGAAAAAATAATAGAGAACCTGGTCTGTGTTGGAAGGCTGAATGATGATAATCCGAATTTGACAGGAGCAAGTTATAAATAGACTGATATTCCGGTCAATTCTAAATAATTAGGTATCGAGTAATGAATTCTTTTTAAGATAACAACATTGTTTGAGACATATAAAAATGGCAAGGAAAACAATGATACATTTATATTCATGGTTAGTATAGTAACGACTTTCTCCCACAAAGTTCAAACATAATTAAGAAACTACAGCTTCACTTAATAAGGTTTGTTGCTATTGTCCCAGCTGACAACTGTCTAACACTAATTAAAACACCACTAAACAAAGATATTAAAATACTGCGCTCAGGGTGCACAATTTACTCAAGATACTGGTCGTCTATAGTCATTAACTTCAACAACAGATGCTTAATCGAACAGGCTTAATCGAAAATGTCAGTTTATAAGATATGTCTGGATGATATCTTAGTTGGTATGATTACCAATGTTTGATTTGATAATTTCAAATAAATTGAGCATTGGGTAGATTGTTATAAATAAATAAATAATATATTTGTAATATCCCAATGAGTAGAAAAATTAGATTTTTTGACTTTTCGTGACTTAGTGTAAACCACTTCTTCAGAGAATAAATAAACAAATTAAAATTAATCCAAGTTTAAATAGTACAACGGAACAATAAAAATATTATATGATCAATCAAAAGGCAAGTCTGAACAAGTTATTGTCATGTCATTTCAGTCAAGGTGATTCATACGTGATGTGTATGTATCTTAGTTGTCTGTGAAAGAAATGATTATATAAACTGTTTATTGAACAAACTCAACACATAACATGGACAGGTCAATAACTTAATTATTATAGTTTTTGCCCTGTGAAATACAAATCGGGTTTGATAAGGTGTCTAATTAACAGGTTCGATCGCATTTGCACAAATGATGCTATTGATGATGATGTTAGGTTATTAAACGAACATTAATGTAAAATGGCTTTCCCTTAAATCAATAAATGGATGGAAATTTCATGGTACAATCAAATTTATCATAGCCTTAGCAGAAAAAAAGCCTGTGGACATGATTTTATCATTTAGAGGTGATTCAAACAGCCTTTTATTGAAACAAAGGCTTATATCACTCATTAACAAGACGTATTAGGAAGCAAACCTCATTTTCAAGGAAAGAACAAGGTTCATGCTTCATCGAAAACCTAGAAGACATGAAGAAGATTGCGTCACATCCCACGGTGTTTACCAATTTAATTTTATGTGTGGTCATACAAACATAGGGAGGAGTAATTGTGATCTCGAAATTAGGGTGTGTGAACATGTACCTAAATGGTTGCAGAAACAAATAGAATCAAATGACCCAATAAGAGTTCAGGATAAATATCCATCATCCTCTACTGCAAAACACATAATTGAAGCAGGTCATAAGATTGATCTTAACTCTGCTTTCTTGGTGTTGTGTTAAAGGGTGTATACTAAGGTTTATTTAAGCCTTAAACATACTAAAATTCAAATCCACTTAGTGTATTCAAAAACAGTTTGTTTTCACCTTAAACCTACCCTGGTAATATTAGTTTATTATCCAGAATGATGAGATTTTAAATTGTTTTCACATTATTCATTATCATTGTCTCTTGTTACCTTCCGTTTCTAGTTTAGTTGACCTTTCATTTTTATATATAAATGTCCTCAACAAATGTATGTGTGACCAGATTGTTCGAAATGTATTGCACTAATACATCAAATAGTTTTGATAATCTTCGTCTTCTTATTACACTCTCCGAATTTCACAAATAAAATAAAAACTAATGCTCGTTAACTAAGTGATCTCATTAGCTTAGCTAATAAGGCGTAGGATGTTTGGAGAGAGGTGCAGATGGATAAGTGGACCACATATGGTTTATTTTATTCAATATTGACTATATGACACAAATCGCTTAATTGATTTGAGTCCAATAGACGTTTTCTGAAGAGATTGTAAATATCGCTCTGTACGAATTATTGGAATGTTTCAAACATATAACTTGTATGTTGTTTTTCATTTAATTAGCATACACTTATTTTTCATTAATTTGGTCAAACACGAAATGTCAGTTATGTTTTCACTTTTCTACCTAAATGTATGAAAACCTAAGTGGCAAAATTTTAAACAGTACTTTGGACACGCTATGTATAGAGACTTGAAAGTTGCCATTTGACAGATAACAATCAAATTAGCGCCCCAGTCATGTAGTTAAGTTATCTCAACAATTCATGTCTAAATATCTTCAAGTCTGTTGAATTTTTTATTCATGAAGCTCACAGTAGGCAACGTTGTCTATTTATGACACGTTTACAAACATTAACACAAGTTGGTTCTAAACTATAATCTGTCTAATAATATGTATTACTCTTCTAGGTCATTGTTTGACGTTTACACACTTATGATGGGTTAAAACAGGACAAGGTCACTCAACGAATGAGATTAGTGTTGTTAATTGTGATGCCAATATTCAGCCTTTTCATAAGACATTACGATATAAATAGCCATTAGTTGAGTAAGATTTGGCTAAATTTTACGGGTTATTAGGTGACTTTGTTCTGTGAGTTGTGGAAGAATCAATCAGTCAGAAAATATATCTGTGTACAAATGACGAAACGATTTTAATGAGAGGAATACTAATAAACACGAATCTGCAGGCAGCTATTGCATCCTACCTT